ACCAAATACCTGCAAAAACTTGCTGCTCAGTCTCCTGCTCACCGGCGTCGTCCACTAGAAGTACGCGTGGTGGGACTGCCCATCCTGGGACGAACGTTGACCTCCTGACTCGTAGTTTCTGTCCACCGCCAGTCGAAGGTGTCGTGGCTCTGGAAGTCGCTGATGAAGATTCTCGGACGCCGGGGTTCGTGGGTGTAGGTCGCACGACTTCTTCAGCACCTGGACTTTCCTCTTTCTCGAAACCCCTCCCCTTCACAATCCCCACCTACACCGTCTTCATCAGCACATCCATTTCCGTCTCCATTCCCACCCCATTCATATTTGGCGTACCAGGTATATCCCCACCATACGTCCAATTCCATTCGCATCATCAAGCGCACTCCTCGGAAGCAAATGTCCCAATGTGAACACCTGTAATCCCTCGTGAACCGTTTGGACTGTCCCATCCCAAGATGTATCCGGAGGGATCAAAAAAGGAGCATCACCACTCGTCATATCCGTCCCCTCCAGTCTGGTTCCATTTCCCGAACCTGTACCATTACTCGTCACTTCAGCAGACGCTCCAGCCTTCCTCGACATCTCATTCATCTGTGCCAAACTCGCCCTCGCAATCGCGGTCGGATCCGGATACCGATGATCGCCAACCAAGCCAAGCACGCGATGGGCCTCATGGACGGGAAAAACTGAATCTGCTGCATTGGTTGCACCATCTGCATAGCCGACACCATTTGTTGCATCGATGTCACTTGCTATAAGGAAGACATTGATTCCTACATGGATGATTACATAGATGGAATCGTGTGCGAGAGAGGGATTGTTTCTTGCATGGAAGATATCTGTTCCTGCATGGATGGAATCGATTGAATTGATTGTACGGGTGGCTCAGCAGGTCCTTGCGCTGACCTTGTGCTCGTGAAACTGATGGAGACGGGGACTGGATTGCGCCTGTGCTTGTGCTTGAGCCTGACTTCTTGATAGTGCCCAAAAAAGGGTCGATGACGAGGCAGACGTCACGGGTGGTCCATGTGGTCCGTGTCCATGTCCATGTCCATGGGATCCAAGCATGTGCTGCGAATGAGACGCAGTGAGGGACTGCAAAAACGGACATCGCTGCGGCTGTTGCGAAGCCAGCAACTTCGCTGACATCGCAGCCGCCGTGGTCGACGTTTTCATCGACATGCCAAACGACAGAGGTGGATGCGTGTTGGGAGTCATACTGTGTTCCAGAGACCTTACCCTTGTCGGGGGAGGCATTACAGGTGTATGGGGTTTTTGTATTTGCTGAGAGTTATTTGCAAGGCCAGCTGTAGGTGGTGCTGGTCCGGATGCGATGGGTGTTGCGAAAACGGAATCTTCGTGCTTCGCTGAGGAACAACGATGAGTATGCGAACGTGCATCGGAGACGCAGGCACAGGGTACAGGGGTAGGGTGCAAGGATCCATTGCACCCGCGACCCAACTCCCATCTTCTAGTTTCCCTTGACAACCCAACCATTTCTTTGGTCCAAATAACACGGAACACGAACGAACAGAGCAAGATCCAGACCAAAAAAAGTAAGCAGACTCACCGCCTTCCGCACGCAGAAAATATTCCACTAAACTCTGCATCAAACCACCCTGCCGAGCAATATTCCTCTGGAAACGAACCATTTCTCCAAGCACGTCCTTGTAACACCTTTCCAAATCTCTCACTCGATCCTCTGATCTACCAGCCGTGTCATTAGAGAGTTGTTCTGAGACTGCAGCGCTGCGACTTCCGGTTGTAACCCTGACATTCCGTTCTGAAAGCCCGACAGGGTGTTCTGCAATCCTGTTGTGACGGATTGAAGAGTTGCGTTTTGAGCATGCGATGCGTTGGCTTGGGACTAGAAGACGGTCATCTGCGGCTGGAGCTCTGAATGCCGTTTCTACAGTGCACTCGTATGTGACGCGAGGGTGTTGGTTTGCGTTTGGAGAGATTTCAATACGCCACCTTGGGGTCTGGCTGAGCCAGAATGACCCAGCGCAGAGGGTCCGATAGCGAACCCTGATGGTGCTGATACACGCGCTGCAAGGGCCTTGCGTTTCATGTTTTCCAGGGCTTCTCGCCGGTCAGCGTGGAAGTCAGGATGTCAAAATGTCCACGAGTGTTCACCACATTGGGTGTCATCGGCATTTTTGACCTGGAGTGCATGTCAGAATGGGAATGTCCTCCGGTCATAAAAGACACCAGAGCGCGCATGTAAGATGCACACGATATATGAGCATACCCACCTTGTGGAAGTCGTATTTGTTTAGTTGCCTGACAAACGAGGCAAAATTAGAGTGTTTAAACATGCGAGGGAGGATTGATTTCGTGAATTCGTTCATGTCCTATTGGAAGGGGAGATGTGAGCAAGAACGAGGTCGGAAGCGAGATCGCGTGGTCGATCAAAGTGATGAGAGATAGAGCAAGAAAGAAGCAGGAAGACCGACCTTTACGACAAAGCAACCACCGTTTGGACCGCATGATACTATGTGTGGGAATGACTGATCCTCAAGTATCCTGATTGCAAGTAAGCAGTGGATCGGAAGGATGGCCGCGAAAAGAACGTACTTGTACAGTTTCTTGACGAAGTCGCTCGTCGCTGGTATGTTATCATCGCTGTCCTTTTGAGATTGTGGTGGAGGTTGTTGCAGTTGTTCGCGTTTGAATTGTCGGGCAGGTTTGATTTAGTGGATGGAAAGCGAAGAGGGTGTTGTTGTGATGGAGAAGCCAGATGCAGGGAGGATGTCTGCGCGAGAGCTAGAAGTTCGATGGAGGGACGTGGGCCAGGATGGCAGTGGAGACGAGTGAAGGTAGGCAGTCATGGATTTGGCGGATTGAGGGCGGGAGGGTGTTGATGTTGGAGCGAGACGAGCTGACGGGGGCAGGTGGAGCTGGGAGGGGAGGGGGAGGTGCGGACACTGGCTTGGATGTGTCGGATCAGAGGGGGAAGTGTGGGGTCAAAGGAACGATGCAAGTCTCAGGCGGAAACGCTCATACAGCAAGCTGAATTACACTAAAACCGATGCATGTGCCGGTGATGAGTCTCGGAAGGGAAGCCAGCAAAATCCCTCCCAAACGGAGACTGAGAAGACGAAATATGACGACTCGACACACCATCTCCCATCCATGGTTCATAAGAGTCAAGAGAGGGGTAATTAGAGCTACACCAGTCGTGTACAACAGCCATTCGGCGGGTCTATAGCTGGATCATGCATACAGAAGGCAGGTAGCCCGATGTCACAGTACAGAGAAAGCAGAGCACACTATGATGCACATTCCCTCAACCACCTATCCAACACCGTCATAATATTCCACGATCCCTTTGACAGGGCACGCAGTATCCAACAAGGTGTTGATGCAAGCAACCCCGCTCGCGCGAACCCATCCACCATGATACTTCCCACGCCAAACCAAGCCATCGACCATACTCTCCCAATCCACCCACCCACTTCCTTCCCCGTCATCCGCGTGAACATGTGCTCAAGGATAACCCCAACGGCCATCATCCCGAACGCGAGGAGCATGCACCACCATTCGACATTTTGATTGAGCATGACTACCACGATGTTGTGGACTACCCCCGATGCGAGAAATGATCCAGCACATATCCCATACGTCCGAAGGCCGATCCCAAGAGGGGCCATCCCCCCGACAACGACGGAATGTCCGCCGAAAACAGCTGATGCCATCCTATAACCCCGAGAAGTCGCGCATACGGAGTGCTGGCTTTCCATGGCTTGTCCGCATACGGGTGGCCATTGCGCAGGTGTCCTTTGCCGGATAGCACGAATAACACCAATAAGCGTAGCAATGTCAATATATCAGTTGCCATAACAGCAGAGAATGGCAAACATGTCGAGCGAAGACAGTGATGATGACGGAGCGGAAGTATCGGATGAGAGGAGGAAGTCTGTCGCATCAAAGATCGTGCCTCCACATTAGAACAGTGGAGGGTCTCAGGGAAAACGCTTGCGTAGCAAGGTGGAATGCACCACATACAACGCTTGTAGTACCAAGTGGAGGAGTAAGACATATGCTATGAACCATTCACGCGAGGAGGGAACGTGCGTCCGGAGGAAAACGAAGGCTTTTGGACCAGTTCCAACCGACACCGCGGACGTTAGTGTGAGAGGTCCAGCGCGTCCATGAAGATGGACGGAGAAGAACCAGCATGAGCCGGAGATGCCGCTTGAGTGGGTCTTTTGCGTGCTGTCCATTCGAACGTGCGCACGACGAAGCAGAACATAATAAGCTACACAGACCGGGAATCACACCAAACGTCAGAAGGATGAAAGATGGCACGAGGTAGAGCATACCGCAAAATCAACATTAAAAAACGTTTTCTGAGGGTCCCCACCTGTGAAATCGATGCCATGGTGGCTCGAAAAGCCAAGAGAGCGACGAGTGGCCACAGTGCGATGCGCAAACACACGCGTTCCGGGGAGAATGACTAAGACTGCGGCGACATAGTAAGAGAGGCACGTTGGTACGATGTACGCGAAGAATGTGGACGTGTCGAACGGGGCGTCTCTCTGCTACGGGTGGGACACGAAGATGTGGGTAGGCAGGTTCTCGAGGAACGGACCAAACCATCGTCGTCGTCAGGCGATGACAATTGGAGGCAATTCAGGTTCGTTTTCGTGGTTTATTATATAGTCCAACATTTTTGTACAAGCGCCCAGAACATAAAAAGCCCTGCAGTGTTTGTGGGTGCACAGTCGACCGTGCGGACAGCGTATGTACTGGACCCCAGATTAGTCAGCCACCCTCAGTGATGTGTCTCCAGTTATTTCTAATGAGACTCCAAGTTCCCTGTTTCGAGTATGCCCGCCCGGATGGCCAGCTACATGCTAGAACTAGTATTACCAGCACGACCCTTTATGCAATCTTGACCGTCTATACCACATACCGTCAAACGATTATATATATAAAAACCCAAAATAATCTCACCTTTGCATACAACGATTCCACGACCTTCCCAACCTGCTCCAGTGTATCAATTGCAGCACCGTACGTATCCTATCAGTAGACAAGTTAGCAACGTGACATGGCAACTGCAAGCAAGCACTACTTACGTCTACTTCAGGTTCGTCAAAGACTAATAGACGTCCCTTTCCTTGATCGAGGACGCCATAAAAACACTTTGTCCAGTATCATCTGGGACAGCCTTTATGAACAAAACGCAGGTGAGTGCGTTACGAAGTACATCTGTATGTATGGAGAAGAGCTCACTTTGCCTCGACGTCCTGTCGACCTTGGCCGACTTGTTTGGCGACGTAATCGATCTCGACGACGGAATAAGGTTCAATGATGCGTAACAGGTTCTGTTCGAGAAGCGTATCATAAAGCGCCGCGAGGTGCGAACGGATCGTGGGGTCCGACGAGAGTTCTGCCCAACACGATGGTCGGGGGATGAGCGAGACGGTACATACATCGAAGGGGAGACGCACCATCTTTATAATCCCTTAGCACCTTTTCGAATTCAGCCAAGTTACGGTTTTGGTGGGCAAGCGCTATCGCACGCATGCATTCGATCTCACGCAGTTGAGCATATTTCACCGCCAGTTTGACAGATAAAGAGTGGTGACGTCCTCTGGCTGCGAGAAAGGTGAGTCTGGGACCAGTTGATAGTGGAAGATATGCACCAGATTCAGCATGACTTTGCATAGGAGCATATACTTCAATGCATTCAGTGCGCTCGGGTCATCTTGAGACGACATGTTCTCAAACGTTTCGTAGAAGTAGGAGTAGGCAGTGGTGTAATCTTTATCCTCTGCGTGAAGGATCCCAGATTGTAAATCGAGCGCTGCTTGCAAATGCGGTGGACAGTATATCGAGTTAGCTGCTGTCCGGGCTGATGTGAGGGCAGCCTAGGATAGTCGAGTCGACTGAGCTGTGTTCCGAAAGCAAGGAAGAACTGTACCTTTGCTTTTACCAAGTTTCCGATGCCGCGATAGACACGACTCTCAAGGAGATGGACTTCGGTGAGGATCATCTTGTCGTCCAATTTCTTGAGTTCGGTAAGGAGGGTATCTATCCGTGTCAGAGCAGCTTTAAACTGCGAAGCTTCCAACTGGCTAAGTGGATATGAGAACTACATGCACAGGCATATATGTATGGCGAGACTCACAGCGAGACGAGTCGGATTTCCAAGCTGTGTTTGAGGAATATCCGTTTCTCGCGTTTCGACCAGTCGATGTTATCCAGTAGAATGTCAATTTGGGTCTGACGACTGTTGGGTCGTCGCTGAAGTAATTGAGTAGGGTACGAACTACATGGGTAAACGTGAGGTTCGGTGCAGGAACTGGAGCAATGGGACACACTGAGTTTTGCAGTTTTGGCTTTCGCGGTGGACGACATGAACGATCTCGAGAGGGTGATCACCTCTGCCAACCCTTGTGCATTTCTGCTCGTCCATGAGGGCGACTGTGACAAGGAGGAATCGGCAAGTGGGCTCACCTCTGATCCGGTATAGTTCTGCAAGTTTGATCATGGCATTTTCTTGGTCTCGCAGTACCTGATCTCTCTCGACATTGGACGGCGAGGCTTTTGGGGATGAAGTGATGTGTGGCTTGGATGGCATCGAATACAAGTGACAAACCTGATGAGACGAGGATTTGCTTGTACATCTCTTCCGCCCGTGCTGGGTTGGTATTCTTGGCTTCGTCCAGCAGTGCTTGGTTGGTGGTCATGGCGGTGGTGGTTGTGGTGGTTGTGGTGACACGTCCGTCGTGGGACTACTAGCACCGGGCACTGACGCGTTCCTCCTACTTCCAAGCAACCTGGCCATGGCCGACGACACTGTCCTCCCCATACCGAATCTCAGCCTCCCACAACACCTGTTTACGCTTATAGACCCTTCTCTGGGCCATCTACACATTGTCGCACGCAAATCGCTCTTGGAAGGCATCAAGGCAGACAGTGCGTAGACACTTAACGATCAAACGCTGGCTCATATCGGTGTAGACATGGCCCCCTACTATCGGGCGCTCACCTCTTCTAGTGGGATAGACGTCGATCCAGCACTCCTTGAATCCATGGAAAAGGCAAACGAAGAGCAACTCAAGAAATTGGATGAACGTCTGGCTGAAGCCCAGAAGACAGAGGGGGAATCTGAAATATCGGACGCCTTGAAGGCGAGGGCGAACCATCTCACTCGGATAGGTGACAAGGTATATCCCAGGTGATCCCAGTTTGCAATCCCGAGCTTATGGGGAATGTGTGTAGGATGCGGCTGTCGCAGCCCAGCGACTTGCCTTGGAGAAAACACCAGGCCTTGGGTCGAGGATAGACATTACCCTGACTCTCATCCGAATAGGTTTCTTCTTTGGAGATAATACCCTCATCACCGAGAACCTTGCCGGGGCGGAAAAGTGGGTCCACGGACGCTAACCATGTCTTTCTCACTCATGTGATTTGGACAGACTCATCGAGGAAGGGGGTGATTGGGACAGACGGAATCGTCTCAAAGTGTATCGTGGCTTACACGCAGTTTCCATTCGGCAGTTTAGATTGGGCAGCGAGCTGTTGCTCGATGCTCTATCCACATTTACTGCTACGGAACTCATCTCTTATAATGACTTCGTTGCACTCGCCGTCATCAGCAATACGCTTACCCTCC